GGTGGGTTCTGCTTCTCCCCGCTCCACCTGCACGCGCGGCGGCGTCGTCTGCATCGCCCGCTCTGCCGCCTCCGGGGTCTTCTGCCTACGTGCCTCTTTAGCCACACTTGATGATACCGCCGTCGCTTCGGATGCTGCTGTCACGCCTGCTCCGCCCACAGCAGCAGCAGCAAGGCTCCCACCACTACCACTCGCACGGCCAAATGCGGCGACTACATCCACCATGGGCCGTGACGCTTGCACGCCATCGCTGACAGACAGCGTGCGCGGCATGCTACACCCACGGCGGTCATCATTGTTGTCATCGCCGGGGTCATAGTAACAGGGAACAAAGGAATCATCCGGTCTCTGCTGTAGCTGTGCCGGCAATTCAGTTTCCTTTCGTCTCCCTCCACCACCGCCCGCGCTGTGTGAACGATGGTGGTGGTGGTGGAGGTGGTGACTCCTCTCTTTGGGGCGCTGCAACGCTCGCTGCAGGCCGATGTCATTCACCAACTTCGGCTGCAGCAAGTCACTCACACGCGGCCCCGAGATCTCATACCCACGGCCACTATGGTCTCCAGCAAACGGGACGTAGGACTCGCCTTGTGCGTCCCAACGCGTGGAGCTGCGGTGCCTCCCACTATCGAATTCATCGTAAGGCCGCTCTGCTGTGTCGTGTTGAAATGGGCGATAACTGCGCTCGTCTAAGTGCCCTGAGGGCAGCGGAAACTGCGGCGACGGATCCCTGCGCATTGCGCCGCCCCTCCCTCTCTCTCTCTCTCTATCTCTATCTTCAGCAATCTAATCTAAGGCAAAGCCTTTAAAAAAAAATCGGTTTGCCGTTAAAAAGTTTCTTCTCTTGTTTCACCGTAGACCAAACACCACGCAACAGAGCCCTGAGTTGTGTGCGTAGATGGGTAGGTGCCTGGGGGAGACGGAGCCGAGATGATGAAGAGAAAGCACAGAAGAAAACCGCATCACATAGTGTACATTAGAATATGAACCCCATCGCAGAGTGCAGCACACACACACACACACACACTCTCTCTCTTTCTCTGGAGACACCGCTCCCACACCCCTTCCCAGTGCACTATATAATCATCCAGACTTTTCAGGCTTGGTATACATTGTATGGTCATCGTTGCATATCTGCATCTCGTCAGTAAGACCGCTCCAGCGTGTAGCCGAACAGTTCCGCATGGTCGCGGTCGTCGGGCCGCCTATACGCCGTCGCCAACTGATTTATCTGCTCATTCGGATTCAGCAGCCGCGACGAGGCGAAGTGCTCATCGTTCCGCATCGCTGCTGGCACAGACCAGCCCACCTCCAGCGCGGATGTCGGCGGCTGCGGGNGACGAGGCGAAGTGCTCATCGTTCCGCATCGCTGCTGGCACAGACCAGCCCACCTCCAGCGCGGATGTCGGCGGCTGCGGGTACTTGTCCTGCGGCGCGAGTGCCTTGCGCGCGTCCAGGTACGTCTTCGCGGCGCTCCCCGGGTCCGCGCCGTCCTTGCGGTACACAATCGTTTGCAGCGCGTCGTTGTGGGCGCGGTACGTCTCACGCTTGTCAATCTCGCGCTGCAGTGTGTTCTCGAGCGCGTCCACTCGCCTCATTTCCTCTGTTCGGTCGTACTTGGCGGACCAGTTGCTGTGGATACGCTGCTCCGCCTCCACCTGCGCGCGCCAGCAGGACGCGGCGACGTGGCTACACTTCATGCCCATCGCCATCGTCATGGAGGGCTTCATGCTCTTCTCGTAGAGCTGCGGGTTGACAGAGGGGCACGCGCCCTTCTTCTTGGGCGGCATCGCTGTACACGCTGCGTGCTCGAGTAGGTATATATATATATATATACTCTTGTTTCTGTGTGTATGTGTGTACGTGCAACTCCCTCCGTGTGCTTGGTTGTATTGCCAGTGTGAAAGAAGGCGAACAGTGTCGGAGAAAGGCGAGCAGGAAAATACCAAACAAAAGCAAAGAGAAGGAAGCACAAGAGCGTGGGCGTTATGTACTTCTCAGGGATTGTACTATGCATATGTAGGGTGAGGGATGTAGTACGCCATCTCTCTCCCACTTTCTTGTTCTTCTTCTTCTTGTTGTTGCTGTTGTTGCAAGTAAATCCCGTCAGCAACAGAGGCATCGTTTCATACTTGCAAAAACACCCCCCCCCCATCAGCCCTCGCACATGACGGACTGTTGAGGGCGCACACATCAGCACACACACACAGACAGACAGACAGACAGACACACAGACAGATACCCCCTCCCCCCTCTCAATCGTTGCGCCGAATCGTGGTGTACTTGCTCGGCACCTCGAACGCCACGCTCGTCTGCCCCATCGGCGACACCTCGTGGATGGGCGAGTAGCCGAAGTACCGCAGCACCTGGTAGCGCACCACTAACTGCACCCGCACCCCCGCAAGCGTGCCGAAGTGCGCATCCTCCAGCGGGTACTTCCGCGCATCATCGATCGCCCACCGCGCCGCCGTCTCGCTGTCTTTGATCACCTCGTCGTAGAGCGTCACCTCATTCACTACGTACCGGTCGGTGCGGTAGCGGCCAATGCACGACACGTAGACGCCCTTCGTGTTCCAGTCCCACACCGGCGCGAAGTTCGCCCGCATCGTGAAGGCAACGAACAGGTGGTCGTGCACCGGCGGCGGATTCTCGCCCTGCGCGAAGATGGCGGGGACCGGTATCTGCAGCAGCTGCGAGTTGGAGATGTTGAACACCGTTATGACCGGCTGCGGCGGCGACGGCGACTGCAGAAACGGCACGAGCGTGCTGCCGACGATGATCACCAGCCCGACAAGGTACGCCGAGAGCGTCATGGTCGAAATCTCCATGATGCGCCGAAAACACGTGTGCATCGCTTCTCCACGATAACCCCTACTCTCTCTCTCTCTCTCCACCCCCCTTTTCCCTTCCGCTTGGATGTACAACTGTCCCGCTTCGACTCCTGCTGATGGAAAGAGAATGAGGAACGCCAAGGGCATGAGGAATGCGTGGACTCCCCCCTCCCCCCTCACACGTTGTGGCACACCACAGCGCCAACGCCCGTGTGGGCCACATGAGAGGAACCAAAGCAGGGAAATGGAACACACAAACAAACAAGCAGGGGGCTGAAAACACAATCATACACACACACACACACACACAAAAGAACAAACAAAACCGGAGGAATGAAACCCACTCCTTTACGGGGCGCTACGCACCGCCTCGTCGAAGACTCTCTTTTTGAAGATTATTGAAGGCAACGCGCAGTTCCTCGTATTGGCGCTGCAGCTGCTGGAACGCCACCGGATCTGCCGCCGTACTTCCCCCTCCTCCCTCCCCTCTTGCTGCTTCTGCAGGCAGCGATGGAGTCGACGCGGTGCGAAGCGATTCGTACGCCATCCGCTCACTCTCCATCAGCTCCTGCAGCATCTTGACACGCTGCTTCAACGCGCGGTTCTCCTGCAGTATGACGTTCACCACTGCCCCGGTCTCCTCATCGGTGTCCGCACCAGGCCCATCCTCTTTTCCCTTCTCCTTTTCATTAGACTTATTCTTCTTCAGAACCTTTCCGCCACGGTGCTTGTCGTCGTCCTGCAGGTGCCGAATCATCTCGTAGCACTTACTAAGCCGATCGTTCTCTTCTTGGCGTTGCTGCTCCAAAAGACACACGGCACCGTGCGCCCGGCGAAGAACATCTGCCACACGTGCCTGCCATCTACAGTCGTTACTCCCTGATGCCCCTGCTCCGGCTTCTGCAGGGACAGGGGCGACACTCCTCAGCCAGTGAAGCACGAGTGCTGTGTCGTCATCCGCGTCGTGCGACTTCTCAACAGTGGCGCTGCTCTCACCACCGGTACCACCACCACCACCACTATTGTTATTCATTGCGGCAACACGCGCAAGCTGGCCACGCAGCTGTGCGTTCTCCAACTTCAAATGGTTCAATTCAATCGCCAAGTCGGCACCCGCGAGTGCAACTGCTGTATCCGCATCAAGCGCATCCGTACTCGCGCGTCGGTACGCGCCAACACGCGGCTCGCCTCTCTTCGGTTTTCCGCCACCCCCGCCACCTCCTTTGGACTGCCCCCTTCCATCCCACGCCTCCCACTCCTGCAGCTCCACCTTGGCGGCGTGCAAGGCCCGCTGAAGCTCGTCCATCTCCTCGCGGTAGGCATCAATGAGGGCGTTGTCATTCTCCGTCTTCTCCATCACCGCCTGGAGGTACTCGCGGAGGGTGCGATTGTCTGCCTCAAGGTTGACATGTCGTGCCTGCGCCGCCTCTGCCCGCCGCCTCTGCACCTCCACCTCCGCCGCGCGGCGGTCAAGGGCGTCCTGCAGCTCACGCTGCTGTAAGAGCCGCCGGTTTTGCAGCTCCACCACCCGCTCCCGCGCCACATCGTCCATGTCACGGTTGCGATTCGTCAAGAGACCGCGTGCCGTTGTGATGTCCGTGGTCACAGACGCAGCCCCCATGGCCCTCCCCTCAGCATTTCCACCACCGTTGCTGCCGCTGCCGCCCTCCTCTTCCTTGGCCTGTTGTGCAGCGGCAGCTGCCATCGCCCGCTCGAGCTCCTTCACCTTGCTTTTCAACACCACGATCTGCTGCGCGCGCCCACGCCAACCCCCACCGCCTCCGCCCTCCGCTGTATTCTTCAACATCGCCTCCAGCTCCTCTGGCGTACCGCCTACCTCCTGCTGCAGTATCTTCCGTAACCGATGCGTTTCCTTCTTTTGCTCGTCGAGTTGTACCTTACTCTCGTTCAGCTGCAGATACATCCGTTCGAGTCGTTCGCGAAGGGCAGAAATAGCTCCAGCAGCGTTGTTGTTCTGTTGTTCTCCACTTTCCTCAGATGCACCACCCTCTGCTTGCTTCACACGACTCCTCGACACACCTTCGCTGCCGCCTTTGCTGCGATTTTCTTGCTGCCGTTCTGCCTCAAGCGCCGCCACACGCGCCAAAAGCTGCCGGTTTTGTGCCTTTTCCGACTCTAACTGCACGCCCAGCTGACGTGCACGCTTCAGTTGATTTAAATACCGCCCTTCCAGCACACCGCCGTCGAGGCCGCCCTGCTCCAGCAATGCGCGAAGCTGGGCGATCTCCTCCTTGTACGGGTCATTGCCGCTCGCCTTGGTTACATCGCTGTTCGGCATGCCCATGAGAGCATAGATGGCGCCCCGCAGCTACTATGGCTTCTGTGATTCCGAATTATCGTGTGTCTCGATGCGCTTCACCTGCAAAGCACAGTGACACCAATTAACATGCAAACGAATCAAAGCAATATCCAACAAAGAGAAGAGATATTGAAAGTAAAAAGAGGGAAATGTACATTGAATACCCATACCATAGCGATCCATCCCTCTCTCTCTCGCGCGCGTGCGCCCTTCCCCCGCCGCCATACTGCCTATTGCTCCTTGTCCCTTGAGCCACCGAGCTGGGCACAGCGTCCAGAGTTATATGGGATACGCACAGCATTCAATAAAACTTTCCCGCATCCCCGCGGTGGGCGACGCATCACCAACAGCACCGCCGCACCTCGCATCATCATCATCGTCCCACATAAAGAACCGCGCAGGTTGCGCCACGCGGCTGCGCCACCACTCCTCCACGAGATACACAACCATGTGCCGCACCCACCACTGCCGCTGGGCAGCGGTTAGTCCACCGCCGTTGTCGGCGGCAAGACGAAGTGGCTCGCCGGAGCTGGGCAACACGCCAATCAACGAGCCAAACATCACCTCCGCACTGCTGCGTGTTGCTGCTGCTGCTGTCCCAACGAGTCTTTTTGCCTGCACCGCCAGCTCCTCCTGCAGCTTCAGCAACGAGACAGGGCGTGGAAGCGCTCTTCCCTGGTAGACAGTAGTGGCTGATGACATATCGACCTGCTGCTCCTGAAGTTTCTGGTAGGCGCTTGATGACTGGCGCGCCGACGACGGCCGTAGAGCGTCGCGAAACGCCTCTGCTGCTGCCTGCACTGTTTCCAGGCAGTCGAGGTGCTGCTCCCACACCCCAAGACGCCGCAACTCCGCAAACAATGTGTTATGAGGCGGAAGAAGAAGCACCAACCCCTCACACAGTCGGCGTGGAGAACCCGCATCATAGTCATGCAAGACAACATCCACCGCACGCGCCACAACCCGGAATGACTCGTCCACAAGCTTCATGACTAGCTGCGGCAATCTGTCATCATATTCCCCGCGGCCCATATTCCAATTAGCCCCTTCACCATTATCCTTGTTGTTGGCGCGCTCAGAAGTATTTGCAGTTCCATTACACAAACCAACGGTGACACGCAATCGGGCAACGGTCTGAAACAGAGAAGCCAACTCATCCTGTGCCTCCGAAGAGAGCTGTGTGCCGCGTCGCATCACAAGTGCCTCCAGCATCATAACAAGATAGCATTGCACCTCATACAGTTCGTTAAGCACGGCCTTATCACTTACGCTGCCCATTCCACCAGAGACATCTGCATTCACATTGTCATTCAGCTCGCCATCACTCTGCCAGACGAGGGCCAGGCGACCGTCACTACGCCACTTTGTCTGCCGCTTCATCACCTTATTTGCGATCTGGCACCCCTCCATGAAGACAGCGTTACAAAAAGGCGTCGTTACATGGCTGCTGCTGCTACCGCCACTACCTCCACCACCACCAATGGCAAAGGCCAAGGGTGAAGATGAGGAGGTTTGTGACAAGGACGACAAGCGCAGCGTCGCCTTTTCCAGGAACTGCGGGTACTTCAGCATGAGGTGCGTGAGCCCCACTGCGGAAGGTGTGGCTGGCAGAACACTGAGCGAGCGGAGGCACCACTGCCCCAAAGTCACGACCGTGTGCTGACTCAGCGGCCCCGCACAAAGGATCATGCATGTCATCACAATGGTGTTTGGCATCGTCACCGTGGGTGGCACCTTATCAGGGAAGCGCCACTGCAGTGCCCCACCGCCAGCGGAAATGTCAGTGCCGCTGAATAGTGGCTGTAGCAACACCGTCGTTCGGAAGGATGAGGATAAGGACGCCGCGCGTCCCATCGAGGCGACGGAGCGTCCTGTGGCAAGCGGGGCCTCGTCCACAGCTGACGCTCCGGCGGATCCACATCGAGCGCTGCTAAGGGTTTCCTGCAGGTGTGCGTTGCGTTGATGCTGCTGCTGCAGGGGCTGAACAAAACTTGGCGGCACCGCCACCGGGGAGGAAGGACCGGCGGAGGAATCTGCTTCTCCCCCACTCGGCATCTGCGACGGTGGCTCCCCTGCTGCACTTCCGTTGGCCACGGCGCTTGTTGCGTCCGACAGCGGCAGCAGCTCCGCCATTCTCCGCTGCGCGCGCAACTCCTCCTCCGCCCGCACTGCGGCGTGCAGGCTGTGGTGCGTTACGAGGGCGTAGGCGAGCGCGACGCTCGGCCTCCAGAGCTGGGGCATCTTAGCCAGGTCGAGGGCACGGCGACACATAACGGCCCGCGGCGCGCTCGGGTGCAGCAGCTGGCCGGCGATGAGCGAGCCGCAGAGGTTCAGCGCCCACACTGGGTCGTCAATGACGTCAAAAAGCGATATTGCCGTCGTTGTGAGGCGCTGAGAGGCGCGCAGTGTCATGGCGTGGAGTGTCACCTCCATATCAGCCTGTGTGCTTGTAGATGCGTTGCTGCTCCGCCGTGTCTGCTGCAAGACGAAAATGGGTGCTGCCAGTTCCGTCAGCCGCACTACTACACGCCTGGCGGCAAGGCCCATGGCGTCGCCGTGGACACACTCCTTTAGCAGTGCCTCCAGAAGTAGCGGCAGAAACGGGGGGTACAGCTCGTTGAGCCGCGCCACTCCTGCAGCAGTGTGCAGCTCCCGCGGAAGGAGCTGTATGCTTTGCTGCAGCTCCGCCTTTGTATCGGCATCATTGCCGCTGTTGCTGTTGTTGTTGTTGTTGTTACTGCTGCCGGCGGCGTGGGCCTTGGCCGCGAGGATGGGATCCGCGAGTTCCGCCAAGAGTTTAGCAGTGCTCACTTCCTGTACCTCTGCCGGCACCCCGCGGTAATAGTCTTCGCAGCGACTGTGGCGCTTCGGTCCAACTACCGCTGCTTCTTCAATACCACTACACCCCTTCCCCGCCACCTCGGATGTTGAAGAGACTGATGTGGAAGAGTCTCCATCATCATCATCAGCACTACTGCCATCATGAATTTCAGTACTACTCACACTGCCGCTTCTTGGGCGGCCGCTCTTTATCCTTCGCGACGCTATGCTCCCCTTCAACGATGCAAAGTGTTCTTGCATATTGGTGGGCACAGTCCGCCCCAACTTCCCATCCTTTGAGACTGGCGACAGCACCTCGTGTGGCGGCTCCTTCTTGCTCTTGCTGTCTTTCTTCTGAGCTGGCAGTTTGGCTTCTCCTTCTTTCAGAACTGCCGCTGCTGACGACGGCAAGGAGGTCTCCAAATTCGTAAACGGCAGCACTAGGGCGCAGAGAATAGCGTGCAGCGGCGGCGGGAACTCCTGTGTCAGCTCTGTGCTACTCGTGACGCTCGTCTCAGCTTGCTCTGAAGATCCACAGGCGCGGCTATCTCTCCGAAACTGGCCACCAGTACCACTGGGTGGCTGCGGGTGCTGCTGTGATTGCTCGTCAACGCTGCGCTGGTGCTGATAAGCCCCGCGGCGCCGCACCTCGGCCGTGTAGCGCAGCAGCAGACCTGGTGAGATGGACAGCGCCGCCGCCAGCATGTACAACCGGTGCGTGGAGGAGAAGGTGCGGTCGTCACACCTCATGCCATTCGCATCAACTCGTGTGTTCGGCATAGAGTACGTGTGTGTGTGTGTGTG